TTGCAGCTGTATTTTATCAAACGTTTTATTGAGAGCCGATAGCTAGCTTGACGTGTTAACATCCGCTAACACTGAGTACTTTCACTCAAAATGTCACAGTCGACAGGAGGGAAATTGTCATCATTCACAATTTTAAAAACGGACATTAAAATATTGTATAAAAACCTGTGAATACCTTGTAATCCTCCGCGTTTTGCTCCATTCTTCCGTCACCTCTGTCTCGTCTTCGTTTTTCCAAAATAAACGTTACGTCATACTTCCTGCTTACAAATGGAACACGCCCCCCAAAGTGACATCACGACAGGGAGGAGGGCCAATCAAAACCATGAAAGCCCGTATTATGATAATAAACGACAGACAAATGTATGTCGTTATGTTCGTTTCTGGTAGATTTTGTTTGCTTTATACAGTCTATGTTTACGCCACTTGCATTTATTTAGAAAGTATTGACCGGAAATGGACACACGCTATTTGCTATGATGTTTAACTTGACTTTTGACGTTAGTTTTAATAGTAATTTAGTTAATTATTGTGACCATTAGACAGCAGTAAACACTTGCGATACTTCACAACATGGTATGTAGACCTCTGGTTTCTACTTCTACTCTACTCCACTATATTTTACAACTATTATACTTTTTATTGCACAACATTAAAGCTTTAATTACTTTGCAGATTTAGATAATCAGATTTTAATAATACAAAATATAATCAACTAATGCATTATGGTGTATTATTACAATTTAAGCTACACCACACTAAAATAATATAAACCAGCCGCACTGTTACCAGCTGCAGAATTAAAGTGAGGTACACATTAATGCATCACTAATCCACTAATATATATTTTATAGCAGGTGCTAGTACTTTTACTAAGCAGTCATAACAAAACAATGATTTCTACACTTCCAGATTAATAATAATAATAATAAAACCACAGCAATGCCTGCTTTAGATGATAATGGTATTATGGTACAAAAGTGGACCCATTGCAGTGGTGGACAAATTCAGAGCCTCAACTAATTATTTTCATTATGGAATAATCTGCTGGTTATTTTCTCCATTAATCCAAGTAAAAAAGAAAAGTAGCAAATCTTCACATTTGTGAGGGTGAACCATGAATTGTTTTTACATGAAAAATGTGTTAAACTATCGAAGTTGTTGCCAGTTAATTTCAATGTCAATCTAATAATTATGTCAGCTGTACTAAAATGTTGGGTAGTATAATTTATAATAACATCAGTTTTATTATAAATTAAGCTACCCAACATATGAAGTGTTTTGTGTGTAACTACTAATTGAAGCTTTCAGATAAATGTAGTGAAATATAAAGTACAATATCTTCCTATATAAAAAGAAAATACTCAAATAAAGTAAAAGTACCTCAAATTGGTACAGTACTTGTTTGATGTTTTGCTCATTTTGACCAAATTCAACACATCGGCCACATTTACGTGCTACTAAAATGAAATTCAACTCGTAAGTCCCTGTAATGAAGGAGATGTAAACATGCCAAAGATCTCTATAAACTGTTACAAAACAATCTAACCAACAAAATGTGCTGGATCTCTTTGTCAATCTGAATGTTTTTTCTATTTCTTTTAATGATTATTTTATGATTTACTCTGCTTAATCTGTGTTAATGTATTTTTAATATACCACATTTTATTGTCTCCATGTAAATGTTTTATGTCTCTTATTTAGTCAGTTTATTCTACATTATGGAGGTTTTATAATTGTAATGAATGTTTTCCTTACAGTTTGTAGAGTTTTACAAAAACTTTAAAAATAAAACAATCTTGCATCTTGCAGTAGTTATTGCAGCGATGTTTATTTGAATAACTTAAATGTTTTATTTGATAAAAAAGTGTACATGATTCACATAAATCCTAATAACATTAGTACTAACTAACACGACTCTGAATACTATTTTTCATACTTCCATATTTCTTCCCACTTTATATATCTGACAGCTGCAGTGTTTAGGTTTTGTTTTGTTTTGAAAAACAAAGTGACTTGGGCTGAAGGTGAGGAGGGGTAGGTGGGTTGTGCACGAGACCAAGGCGAGCACGAGCCCCCACCACGAGCTTGGTCACGTATATAACGTGCGTTCGATTGGAAGTCAGTAAACAGGTGACGCCAGAGCTGCGTCAAGTTAGCCAGCGTGCACTAAAATATAACCGGATGAGGGTCACGTCATTATCCTTCAAATTAAAATAATTTTGTCACATGAGAAATTCAGTGCAGATTACGATTCCTTGCGGCTTGATTGTCACATAAACACGGATATCGGTTCTAGGAAGTTAGGAGCTAAATAGGAATTTCTATACACAGATTGTGTTCCGGGTGAATACTCCATAATATTATATAAATAACAGACCTATTGTATATTACGCTATGTTTTGTCAGTGCCACCTGAGAGGAGAACAAATCACATTTGATTGAATGTCATTTCGGACACAAAACAACGCTTAATTTATAATGAATTACCACACATTCCTGTACATCTACGCCCTCGTGCCTGTGCAAGACAAAACACGGCCTTTATTTTGACATTCTTAACCGGAAAAGCCCTTATTAGTCCTTGCTAGCTTGCTGCTGATGTAGAGCCTAGCTAGGGGAGAGAAACCGTTGGAGAAGGCAGAATACATGAGAAAAAAGAAGTAAATTTAGGATTGATAAACACCTGGAAACGTGGCAGAAAGAAACTGAACAGGTAGGTGAACCGCTTCCCTCGTTTAATTGATTTATACCCGCGGGTCTCGGGCATGCTAAAGCCAGAAAAATGGAGGTGATATGTGGGTCCATCATGAGGAGGTTGCACACAACACATAAACAAGATCAACAACAACAGCTGCTGCTGCAGCGACAGCAACAGTAGGACAGTAGAATAGCCCGTAGCATGCAGTTTTTAAAACGAGAAAGAAAGGATTGCAAAGATGGCAGTAAAAGGGGCCAATAGAGAGCAGGGTTATAACAAAGCTACAGGAGCTAACGTTACAGTAGCTACAGTGGTTAGCATAGGTCCAGCAGCACAGGGAGGTGTTCAGGGCTGCGACAATCAGAGGACAGATTAGTTTGAACAGGTTATTTTTATTTGTTTATCTGCACGTACTTAAATGTGCAATCACGTTCAATTCAAAAATCTTTCTCTAGACAGGAAAGAAGCAAACATTTACAGTGAGTGACATGTCTTGCCAGTTTTCAGCTAATAAAGTTTTTGTTATCTTTTTAATAAATGTAATACTTTTTTCCAGGTATCACCAGCAACTTGGCAACAACTCTTCTCTCCCCTGGCTCTCCAGTGTTCAAGGACACCGCCCTTCATATCATATAAAGTCACCCAGTGCCTCTCTACCTGATTATATTTTCCCCATCTTCACCAGTGCAAAAACTAATCGTACACCAGCAGGACGTAAGAAACATTAATAAAGTGATTTTTCTGCATTTTTGAGAAAATTCAGGTACACCCCAGCTACCAAAGTTACCTGTCAATACTGTATTAAGTTCTTCTGCTCCCAAAATCAACCATTAACCAAGCTTTTAATTAGTCTGAACTCTTCATCATTTATCAGCAGTACTCAGTTATCTCATCAGTAAGTCCATCTAAGAAAGCTGTAAACAGTACTTAGCACCATTATGGCCTCCATCACCCAGTCATCTGAGCCCGAGATCCCAGACAACCACAAAGAGAGCTGGCTGGCGCTGCTTTCTGCTGCGGAAACTTACTGCCAAAAGTCTGGCTTTGATCTGGCCATACTTACAGCTTGTAAGAAGTTCCGGTCGTCGGCTGGAGACGGAGATGGGAGGAGGAAACGGGAGAGCAGCAGTGCCTTTCCTAATGAGTGTGATTTCTCCTATAATGTATGGGGTCAAGGGTTTCTGGCAGAGTCTGCTCGCCGCTACATGGACGACATTGGTGTGCTGCACTCCACGACCATGCTAACAGCCCAAAAGCACACACGCCAGTCAGGGCGAGAGGGAGGAACCAAACTGGTGGTGGACCTGACCTCGGACCCCGGACACAAGGGGGTGAGTGGCCTGCATGTGTTGCATAAAGCACTCTGATACTCATTCAAAATGTTCACATCCATTATATGGTACTTTTTGTTGTTGTTCCAGAGCTTTACAGGCGACGGCGTGGTGGGCGGTGTCAGTCCCAATGGCAGACTGTATTCCCAAAGCTACCCGTCAATCTACAGCTCAGGAGCCATGACTGGGCAGGGTGACGGGCAGAACGGTAACGGAGAGAGGGAGCGGGAGAAGAGTGTGCAGGAGGCCGAGCGGGAGAGACAGAGGTCTGGGATTGTGGACTTGGAAGAAGAGTGTGAGGATGAGGAAGAGGAGGAGGAAATGGATGAGAGGAGACCCTATGGGAATGAAAGTGCTGGTGAGGAGTGACTCAGTTAATCTGATCAGTTAATCTCTATCTTTTAAATGCTTCGATTCTGAGGATTTATTGTCACTGGGCTTCAGGTGTCTTCTCCATGGATGAAGACTCTCTGTCTCGTGACTGCGAGCCGTTCTTTGAGTCCGACGGGGAGGAGGAGAGCACTGATGGTAAGAGTTTGGTATGCTGACTGGAAGTAGTCACATGTGCACAGATGTACATTAGTTACAGTTTTCTACCTGTAATAGGCTCTTTGAGTGAGGACGCTCCTCCGCCGTCACGCGGCATGGCTGTGGGTCAGGCTGCGTTCTCGGCCCGTCACGCCCACCCCATGGCTTTGGCCCGCTCGCTGCCGGTATCTGTGCCTGTGTGGGGCTGCAGAGGAAGCAGGGGTGGTCAAGGAGACGGCAACAGTGGAGAACGGGTGAGAACTGCTGGTTTGCACGCAGAGATTAAAATGTCTTTTGGCTTGTATCACACAGCGAGATTAGTGGTTAAGCCAGCTATCTTGATCTTAACTCAAATTTTCTGAAAGCACAGAGCTGGTTTACTTTAAACAGAGGCAGATCAGATTTTGTTTCTTTAGGCTTTTTCCCAAATATTATTTGTGCTATTCCCCGCAGCCCTCGCAGCAGAAACGGACAGCTTTACTTTGAACTGTTTAAGTGTAACGCACTTCATGTTCACGTGTCATTTCACCATAGAAAATAAATTGATTATCCATTGGGATTCATCTTTTTATTGTCTCACCATTGACTTAACATTTAGAAGATGCTCAGCGTGTTTAAAAGGCTAGACTAAGTTGAACATGCTTCATGACACAGGCCCCTGGTACACCAATATGAGCACTGCTCAAGGCTACTGCTTGGTTAGTAGTCATTCAATAATGTGTGCTGTGTAACTAACTTACGTACTGAAATAAGAATGAATCAAAAAACAGGTTACGCGATAGGTGTCAGCTACATAATACATTTTTTCTACATACATATACAAAATATAGAAACATGCAGTAGATTTGGTCTAATAAAAAATGTATTTAAAAACAATTGAAATGTGTCGCCCTCATGATAAGAGTAGCTAAATGTCATTCCATCAAGTATACTCATTAACTTAAGAATATATAACCAGTTTTCATCAGCCAGATGTAAATTTAACAGCAGAGATCCTGACAGTTAGAAGAAATAAATAAAGATACAATGAAAGAATAGATATTTAAACGAGCTGTTGCTTTTAGTGTTTATGTTTTTTGGTGTCAGTTGATCCTGACATATTTCATACTGTCTGAAGGCTGAAACAAAGAAACTATTCATTTCTCAGTATTCTGATACACCAGCTAATGGCCACAGTGGCTCCATCAGTTCATATGACCGTAAAAGTGCGTGTGACATTTGTGTAAGATTGTGCTGGGCAAATATTGTAACAAGTAACATTTGAGAATGTCAAACACCATTTTCTGGGGAATGGAAGAAAAACAATGTACTAGACTTTAGCATAAAAAGAGATTATGTTATGTTGTATTTCTGCCCAGAGTTTCTCCTTTCAACCACCTCATATATAAAGCTGCTTGGATGGAAACCCTGCCAGCTGTCGTGTATTCCCTCCTGTGCCGTGTCAACATACAGTCCCTGTGTGTTTGCCTTTCAGGTGGGCTGCGCTGACCTGGAGCACATCGCTGCCAGTATGAAGGCCCTGCTGGCACCTGGAGCCACTGACGGGACAGAAATGTTTGGGGCCCTGCCTCGGCCCCGTCTCAACACAGGGGATTTCTCCCTCAAGCATTGAGAGAGAGCGAGACGAGTGGAGAGAAAGAGAAAGGAGATAGAGGGAGAGAATCAGCGAGATGAAGAAAAGTCATGACGGGAGGGACCTGGATTGGCTGGCAGATGTGACATACATGTATGTGAAACGGTGTAAACGCTAGTACCTCCCATTTATTGCTCACTAACCAAAATTAACAGCACATGCTTCGAGGAGTAACTGACAAAAAGAAATGTTGTTATGAACACTAATAACATTTTCAACACTATACCCCACCCCCAACTACACATCCTACAACACTACATTAGGACCTCAAGATGTGTGTTGTGACCCAGTGCACTGACCAACAAAGACACTAAAACAGGGTGTATAGTGGTGTAACGACATAGCCAATTGTTAATTGTTCCAAACTTATTGTGCTGATTCAGGTTTTGGGATGTTTCCTTTCATAAAATTACCTGTGAAGTGAGGAGAACTCGGGGAACAGCCATCTCTACCCAGTTGACCGTTGGCTCCAGTGCTGCCATGCTAATGCTCTAGCAGACTGCATTAGCGTTACAGTGCTATGTTACCGTAAAAGATATATGACGAAGTGCAGCAGTTCAGACACTCTCTTCTGAAACATGATATGAAATTAGCTTAAAGGAGTAGTTTCACATTTCTTTGCGAGAGTTACATGAGAAAAACGCCAACATCTCTTGTGTCTCTTTGTAAAGTTTGGAGCTACAGCTGGGAGACGGTTAGCTTAGCTTAGCATAAAGACTGGAAGCAAAGAAGAAAAGGAAAACTTTCTGCAGTTTAAAGAATACGCCTACCAACATGGCCCTGCTGTCAGTCTTAGCATGAAGCACAAGAGCCAGTGATCCCCCCCAGACAACAATCAGAGAAATGGTTGACTTACCACAAAGCTTTTCAAAATGTGAGCAGAGGACACCAGCACCTCCTCATTACATGCCTATTTGTACTTTTACTTTTGCCAATGAATGACTGATGATGATTGTAAATCAATACTTACGGGATGGTGAGTTGTTTTGTGGGTTTTTTTTTTTTTTTTTGAGCGAGAGAGACAGAGAGAGAAAGATTTAAAAAAACACAAATAAATGTGTAATGTTCTGTTAAGTACTTCTACGTTTCAAATAAAGGAGCAACACCAAGAAAAACAGATTCTTTTTATGTGTGTGTGGATGCAATATTATGAACGGCCTCAAGAGGGCCTTAGCACTCCACTATACAAGTGAAGAAAATTAATATCTGATTTCTTCTCAACCCTGAAATGCAGTATCGCACACAAATAATGCTGTCTCATGTCAGTGTTATTAAACAATAGTTAATTTTATTGACTACATTTAGCACTTAAAAAGGTTCAAGAGTTAAGCAAACACCCTACAAAGTTCCTGCATGTTACAAAAACATACAAGACCTTGCCTAAAACTCAATGTTAAATAAAATACATAAATAGATACACAATAGTAAATAAAATAATTTGGCATCTGTGGATATGACATCAAATCAAGAGGCTTTCTTCATGCACCAGAGAAAGCAAACACAATCTACAAAGATGTCACAACGTGCTTTACAACTACAACACTTGTTCCCTAAACATCACAAGCTTTCCATATGCCTCCTGACGCCGTCTTAAATTTTTATTATTTGACTCCCCCGCGTGCTAAACCCTCAGCTGTGTCACTGATCCTTTTTCCGAATAAGGCAGAACGAATTTGTGCCAACCCAGAACCCGGGGAAAACCTGCTCCTGGATGCTGACTTTGAACTTGTGAATCAGCCGCACCTCCTTCTCGCCCTCTCCCTCCACCAAGAGGAACTTGATGATGCCGGCGGGCTGGTCAACGTAGATGCCAATGGTGGAGCTATGGGGGAGCTCGATGTCCGTGTTCTCGCTGTTGGTCCAGACTTGGTAGCAGGAACCAGACCAGCCGGCGCCCCAGGAGCTGGCGTTCTCTCCGATGCCGCATGGTCCATCCTGGCCCTTCCGGGGTGCACTCTCACAGACCACCCCTATGACTACCCAGCCATCGTAGTCCACCTCCCAGTACCCTCGATAGCCCAGAAGACTCTCTTTACACAGCACCTTAAGAAGGGAGGAGGGTCAAAGCAGCAAATGAGTTAAGCTACAGTTCAAAGTTACAAAAAACGAGTCTCTTGTCGATTTATAGATTATTTGATCGACTTAAAGTTCAAGCAAAAATGCCAAATTTGATAAATTTTGAGTGTTTTTTATTTTTATTATTATCTATTGGTTTTGTTCTGATTGTTCTTTCTTTCTTTCTTCTTTTTCTCCGTTAAAAGTGTTTGGGCAGCAAAAACTGCTGGACGAAAACTCACCAAAATTGGCATGTGGGTTGCAAATTTCACCCACTACTCAGGCTAAAAAAAATGGCACTCATAGACCTCATGGTGGCGCTATAAAAATCAACTTTACATTTTTGCAATTATTTGTTAAACGGCTTCGTTTAAAGTCAAACTTCTTTCATTATTTCAATCTCTGGATTCATCTGCATCTTTGCTCCTATGGTCTTCTGCTCTAAATTGTCAAATTATATGACTTTTTATCACTTTTCTCTAAAACCTATTTTGGCAAACTAGTCCCAGATGGTTTCGCCAATCGATCTGAAACTTTGGCAAGATCATCTACAGACGTCGCTGATCAAAAGTTATCAAAATAATTTTGATACGTCAATCTGTTTTTTCTCATAAATTTTTACTTTTGTGTATTTACGTACAATTTTACATAAATGCCCGTATTGTAACCAAACTTGATGCGTCTGTTCAGATACTTGCACTGAGCTTTGCTGAGCAGTCATGGGATATTCTTCCACTAGGGGGCGCTACATTTGCAAAAAGTTTATACCTCTTAATTTGCTGCATGGATTCATACAAAATTCGGTTTGTACGATCTTGGGCCGCTACTCAGTTAATGCATAAAATTTAGCAATGATTGCTCAAAGTGGGCATGGCTTTTTAAAAGAAATGTAAATTTCTAGACATTTCTCATTCCTAACTTCAAAAAATCAGCCATACGTCCTAGAGAGCTTAAATTTTGCCGTTTGCCTCACTGCAACCAACGATCAATTCAGAAGTCAGTCACTCTGTTTTTCAGAATATGCTAAATCAATTAACATCTATATCTCCACAAGTCTTTCTTCAAACGCTACCAAAATCAACACAGGCTTAATCTAGATGGCCAATATCAAGTATTTCAAAGGGTTTTTAGATTGTTAACAATCAGGTTCAGATCATAGTGAGTCTAAGGTCTTTATTTTACTTGGATCCCTCGCAGTTTCTTCTTTTTTTCTCTGCTAAAAATAGTTTGTGCAGCTCAAACTTTAAATCTTGGAAACAAAATATAAGGTACATATAATGACACTCTCTGATCTCAAGGTGATGCTGTCGTCTTCTCCTCTGAAAATGTCAAATGTGGCGTTTCTTTACAACTTGCTTGGAACCCGATCGTTGCTGCTTGCGGCTATATTTCCTTGTTACATTTGTTAGTAAACTGAATATATTTGGCTTTTAGACCATTCATCAGATAAAACAAGACTGTACTGCAATGTGATGTGAAAATGTATTCTCAAATAACTGCAGGAAACAAGTATTTATGAATAGAGACCAGTGGTGGAAAGTAACATAATACACCTATTTAAGTGCTGTAATTAAGTACAATTGATGATGCATTACTTGAGTATTTCCATTTAAGGCTACTTAATACCTAAAATGTAAATTGATATTTAGTTTTAAATAAAGAACACATGATTGGTAAAAGATAAAGCCATAGGTTCCCAAACTTTTTGACTTTTGACCCCTTATAAAAAACAGCCATTGAGGACATTTCCTCGATAATTATTCAATATATAATAAAATTCAAACAGGTAACATTTTACAATAGTTTACAAAAAAATTAAGGGATAATTTCAGTATTTTTTAAACCTGGGCCCTATTTTCATGTATTTTGGTGTTGAAATGACTTGTAGGTACAAATGTTTTAGAATGTGCAGTAGATGGCTTCAGCTGGCAGCCACAGCTGCTGCAGTGGTTGCAATGTATTCCCTCGGGGCAATTTCCCCCGTTAAAATGAATGCGTATTTTTGCCACCGGCAGGCTCAGACATGGATGTAAAGGTACTTCTTCCACCACTGAAGGAGATTGAGCTAGCAGTTAATCATGCCTGAATAGCTGCCAGTGTGGTGTAATACATACAATTATAAATTACAGCAAAGAGAGACCATTGTCTTTAGCTGAATCTAAATGTAAATGAAAAGAATTCTCACTAAAATCTTTTAGTAAGATGAGATGATACCAAATGATTCACAAGTGTTGGCTTGGTTGTCATTGGACAGTGTGACCAAAAATAAACCAGTACAATAAAGGTAACTTTATTTCATTGATTAAGACCAATGACAACAACACTAGGTGTGATAACTGTGAACTCTATTTCCCATGACCACAGCAAGGCCTACCTGTGGTGAGTGTTCATATCTCTCAGGCCTGTTGGGGTATGGGCACACTGCATCTGACGTACGGGCCACCTTGGACCCGCCCTCTGAAATCCACAACAGTTTCTGTGCAGTCTTATCATCCAGAGAGAGGGGGATCCAATCTGAGAGAACGGAGACGGAAAAATACAAGCCGAAAGTGGCTGACGGGAAGGTGACGAGGCAGAAGCAGTTTACATAAGGATGGGAAGAAGAGGCAGACAAATATCTATAGATCTGAAAAGGCAGCGATAGGATGGAAATAGTGAAGTAAAAAGGAATAAAGAAAATATTCAGTTTCAGTTTACATGACAATTTAAGGCTAGTCTGAATAAGTCCCACTGGTTAGCGGGAAGCTGTGAAAGCTGTAATTAGTCAATCTGAATTTATATTTGATCATTTTAAGTTGAATATCTTGTTTTTAAGTGAAGACAGATTAATTGGTGGTGTTGGTGACTTTTGCTCAGTCAGGATATAATGTGACAGACAGCTGAATCTTTAATTGAAATATAAGCTTTATTAGTCAAAGGCACAAATATCTGCACTTACAAATGAGAAATACAACACAGTCTTCATGTCAACTCAAACGGTCGTTGACTTGCTGATTTGCACTTACTGTGCTAACAATCATGCAGGCTATTTTATTCTGCCTTGTTTCATTTATTATAAAAAGAAAAGCATTTAAACACTATTCAGCTGAACATCTTTTGTCCAAAACACATTTCTGAACACTAGTGTGACATCTAATTATTAGAGTCATTTACTAGGTTAACTTTATGGGTTGATGAATAGATATATTGAACATTATATGTATTTACATTTAACTAGAACAAAAGTGATATACCAGTACATTTTTTTAGTAAAAAGTTAATTAAATGTGTAAATAAATTATTTAATCTCATTATTCTCTCTTAAAGTGATGAATTATGTTTAGATTTGTATTTAAAGTGATATTACATCTTAGTGTGGCCTTAAACCTAACTTCAAATGTTTACTTTCTAAATAGTTTTACTGTATTTTATTTCATTATCACTTAATTAATGTATGACGTTTATCTAGGGACAATAAAGACTCCATACTTTAGTGCACTAGTTTCCATTAATAGCTTGAATTAATATTGTGTGGCATTATTTGGTCAATGGATGGAGTCAAAGCTGGTTTATTCTTCTATTACATAGGACATTTATATATATTTCCTAAACAATTAAACAACACCTTACAAAGTCTTACATTTCATGAAGTCAGCCCTGGTGGTTGGTTCAGGAATATTTGGTTCATATTGTGGCAGCTTTTCTGTGGTGACAGACAGGAGCGATAACAAGAGAATTAGAAGGAAATGCATTAAAGTTGATCAAATCATCATAATCAAATTTACATGACACTGCCTATTTAATTGAATGAATGGTTCTCATTATCCTATGGTGATTTACAAAGACTTCCTAATAGCAATACACCATGTTGATCTTTACCTTCAGCAGCACTGCTGTTTTTTCTTCCTGGAATAGAAAATGACAGAGGGTCAACTCACTGGATCGATCTACCACAGTTTGTGGCTTATATATATATAAAAAAATTGAAATGCCCAACACTATTCAGGGTGCCACCTGCAAGTAAACCCCGGCCAGCTACTCTAAACCTTCTCTTCTTACCCTGTAGCCTCTCCCTTCATCATTGCTTCTGTCAGGCTGGCTTTTATCTTCAGTATATCATCCACTGCTTTTCAACATACAGTAGATCACAGAGGACTATGTGTGCTATGTCGGCTCAGCACTGATTTGTGAAGTTTCCTCATGCCAGCCAAAGTTTAGGTTTCCACACAAGGAATCCGGAGGACAGAGCTTGAATTTGTTAAGGACAGCGGGGCCACTGACAGCCGGAGTCTCATTCTAAGAATAAACTTTCTGTATGATGCTGTTACTTAACACCGCCGGGGGCATGTTTGTCATGTTGTGGGCTGGTGCATAATCTCTGTTCGTTTGTTCCTCCTCCAGTTTGTTAGTCACTGTGTCTTCTGACATTCAGAGAAAAATGTGATCCAGTCTGGTCACCCGGCACCCCTCTGCGCAAGCCGTCCACACTCGGGTTACTGTTTCTCAGATTGACAGAAACTAACTCATCATTCTTACTCAGCTATCAGACTGTTACATCATCACATTAGCTTGATTTGTGTGTCCTTTGCTATTGCCAAAATTAGACAGAACAGCTTCAATTCTCCTGATTCCATATAAGGGTGCTCCTAACTGTGATTTTCATATAGCTGATGGCTGTGTATTAAACATTAGTGGGCCTGAAAACACGCTATCTAGACATATTTGTGTGTACTTAACCTCAACCACCAGTTTTCCCCAAATTTGAAAAATAGTTTGAGAATATCACACAAATATTCTGTATCAGCTTATTCCAACGTTCACTGAAGATATATGTTAATTAAATTGAGTGCTTATTTAACCCTAAGATCATATCAGCATATGGATATATCTACATTATGTTGATATTACACATGTTGTATTAAATTTGTCTGTTTTGTTTTGTGTGTTGTGTGTATATTGTTTGATGACAAACTAAATCCAAAATGAACAGAGAAGATCTTTAGGGTTCTGGTGAAATATGTGAAGCATAGCCTTTATGTGGTTGTTAACTTATTAACATGAATCTAAATGCACTGAATAACCCCAGTGAATGCCTCTTTTGAATGTGACGTGTCTGTGATCACAGCAGTGCTGGTGCCCATTTGAAGAGGAGAGTCAGCTCTTTCAAATGGATGGTCGTTCCCTGCACATGTCTGAGTCTGAGGAAACATAACCTCTGAAGCCTGCATGACCCTCAGCTGGGGAGAACGCCAGCAGTGGAACAACCAGGAGGACAAATGGTAAAACATCTGCAAACATCAGATGTGATTGAGGGGGTGTATTTGCTTTCCCTGAATCGTGCTGGCCTGCGGATCTTTTTAGTGTGGCTAATGCGATGAGAAGGGTTGTAGGGTTTCCAGAAGATGAGAAGGCCAACTTTAAAACTGTTGGCTTTTAAGGCATAGATCCACGGCTCCTCCTTTAAAGTCTAAAATACAGTGTGCTGTAATTAAAAATCTGAATATATACAGTATTACTGTTATGCAGGAGACCATTATGTCGAATACAATTACCTGACTGAAGCCACTAAGACCAGAACATTTGATAATTTGCTGGGCATGCAGAAATATTAATTGGACCTTACTGAGGCTTAGGGTCCAATTACAGACCAGATTTCAGTTTGGACGTTGTCCACTTGTCCTTACTGACTCCAGCAGCAAGCCTGCTGCCGTGCCACGCATGACTTCAAAAGAAAGTCTGCATACATTGTTCATCCATGTACATAATACTGAACAACAGCTGGACAGAGCTGCACATGAGGACAGGAGGAGAGATTTGGCAGGACAGAGAGTGATAGAGTGAAGGTCACGTAGTTGTCATTGGAAATTGGTGAAGCAGAAAGACTCTGGTGACAGATCACTTCGTTTGTCTTTCTTCCCCTCATCGCGTCCATAAAGGAACACAGCCAGTGAGACAGGGACACGATGAAAGAAAAGCCTTGTGGAATAGCACTGGGTTCATCAAGGCTTTAAGAGGAATTACTGAGCATAGGTTAGAAGACAGACATTCGGAGAAATGCTACACTGTAAATAAAGTAAAATCTATAAAATGTTTCTGGGTTCTGTCTGAATGAAGCGAACACCTCGGTTAACCTTGGAATGAGATATCAGGCTGGCAGTTAGTGAGGTGGGTGATTGGAGATACGCCAGCTCCCCTACTGCGCTGTGGAGGTTAAACCCATGCGGATGCCTATCCACGCTCAGCGGGATCAACAGGAAAGCCCCGCAGAGATAAACAGATACTCAGAAAGATTGATGACTTGACATCACAGCAATAGAGACATTGAGGAGACAGGGTGGGATGCAAGAGTGAGGTGTGAGGTATAAAAATATTTAAGGGCAGAGGGATCATAATCCATATGCCTTGTAAAATCAAGTCAGGAATAATGGACGGATATCTGGATGAAGTAGTTGGAGTTTGAGCAAAAACTGTCAACTGAACTGGATTTGTGAATAACTTCAAAAGGAGGAAAGACCTTCAGTGAGGTAGATTTTGGTGAGCATCTATGCCAGCGTCAAGATACAAACATGAGTTTCGTCCTCTGAGCACATGTTTAAAGGAGAGGACAGCTCAGCAGGACCCTGCCAACAGGTCAATGTTGGATCTCTCAATATTTCATGAGTGCTGTTTGTTCTGGACGGTCGCATGGTGGACTCTTTCCCCCGCTCAGATTCCCCTCTCAGTGGGATATAGCTACATTATCTGTGCAGATCGGGTTCAAAACATCCCACTGAGACAGCAAGATCAGAAGATGAAGTGAGATAAGGAGGAGGGTGAGATGAGCAGAGAGATGAGGTGGCGTGGGCCCAGGCTCATCCCTCTGGTTCCTGTCAAGTTTTCCTGGCTAGAAGTCCTGCAAATGATGAGTACACGTGAGGAAGGAAATAAAATACATGGAGGGGCAGATGGGTGAAGGAAGAATGATTCTGGGAATAGGAAAGATTCAAAGGAAAAGCCTCGTACAAAAAGAAAAGGGACAGATCTATAAAATGTGAATTCCCCTGTGGGCTCCTGCACAGAATTACTTTATTCAATCGTGTTTAGTGTATTTCATGCAACCAACATTAGCTAATCACATTAGTTTATTAGACTATCTTTCTGTTATGGCGACAAAGTAAACATTTGATAGTAGTAATTCCTTATGGAGAAGTTAAAGTGCACAGGCCGGGGTGCCGTATGTTACATAATGGCAGAATCAGACAGCCGTTTATAAAACCGAGATGGGCTTTTACATTTTGGGACTTGAATTACTGTGCAGCATTTCACACTTCATTACTGTGGCTGCCAGAGGAGGGATTAGTGACATTTGTTCTGGGAGTTGGGAAGGGGGGGTATATGGGTGTGTGAGTTATGGAAGCAATGGAATGGGAAACACTGAGCAAGGATAAGAAATATCCAAAAGAAGCACGACAATAGATCTTCATATGAAGCAACTACCTATAGTAGGGACAGAAAGAGGATGAAGCAATGCGAGCAACCTGAGACAGGTGCGTCACATTGGAGGGAGAGGAACCAAAAAGACAGACAGAAATATGAGCTCTGAAATTGCAGACGAGGCTTTGACATTGAAGGGAATTCAGTAAGCGACGGCACAAGTGGAGAAGAAACCGTAACCGCCAGGGGAGAGGCTCTTTCATATACTTTGTTGACATGATTAATGGGCTGGAGAAAACTGGCAGAATCCAATGAGAGGATCATTGGATGTTTGGCTCAAAACTGACTCAGCGTGAGGTAACTTAACAACATAAAATAAACACATGATAAATTGGTAATAAAACACTGTGACAAGCAATTAATAAAGTTAACCTACTCAAGCGGTGACACACTTTGAATAAAATATAAATGGCTGAAATAATACAGCATGATATATCTCTGCGCTCTTTATTGCATGCTTATTGATGTGATCTTAATATAAAATTTGGACACTTAACCAAAGAATGAAAATAAAGAAGAAAAAGGTGACTTAAATCAGAAACTGAACCATGAGCTTAAAGCCCACGTGGAATCTAGAGCAGAAAATGTCACTAATTTCACCTAATTGCCAAATCACAGAATTACAGAAAACATTTTTAAATTTAAATTTATTTAATATTTACATTTAAATTATAACAAGGTATAACATGTTTTACCTTAGAAATGTAAGTACAACCTACCTGTACTTTCTGTGATGTAGTAACAAACTCTAATTGTAAAATAGTTGAAATGATAAATGAGGTGATGCTCTCATGACACATGGCATGTCCCCACAGAAATCCAGGTGAGGATGGTTTCTTACCTGCTTTCTTGGGCACAGGCATGATTCCCTTGGTGCTCACGGTGCTGTTTGGCATCAAACGTGGAGCTCTTGTGATAGTGCCTGTCCATCTCCAGAGGGGTGCTCTTATTGACTTCCAAATGAGTGGGGAGGGTGGAAACGCCGCGGGGAGGAGGGATTGTGCATACGTTTTGGCTGGACGTAACGGTTACCCAAAGGGTTGGTCCTGTCACATGAAACTTGTGATCCTTTCTGGGGATCAGATAGATGGAGACAAGCAAATACCCAGTATATCCCAAGTAAGCTCATTTGCATACACATGGATGGAGCATGTGCATGAGGTACCCCAGATATGAAGTGACATCAACACATTTGAGTTTTTATGACAAATGGAAACATGACCAGATTTCTGGAATATTTCTAGAGATTTTGGTGCCTGAATTGACAGGGCGGGTACACGTACATGACAAACTCCGAACCAAGAATGAAAGGCCACTGATTTTAAAACTGCACGTTTAACTGACTCTGACACAAGCTATAGGTGGGTGGGTGGTAGTGTTGGGGGGATGTCAGTATTTAAGATGGCTGCCAGCTACTCACTGGAGACCTGTCGTCAATACCAGATCCCATCAATCAGCAGCTGCTGTAAGTGCACTCTGGCAAAGAACTTGGGGCAAAGTGTACTGAACTGCTGATGTGGTCAGAGCTTGAAAATAACAACTTGTTACCAGTGTGTGAGCACAAATGTTGCTGAGATTGCTTTTCAGTCGTCTCAAGTAACTACTTTTAATTGAGCATAGATTTGTTTATAACAAGCACTTTAAAGTCTGTCATTATTCCATCTCGCATATATATATATATATTTACACTTACAAAAAAATCTTAATCTTGTTGGAAAGTAATTAAAAGTTTCAGTAGCTGAACAGATTTTTTATACACCATGATGCACAAAATAAAGACGTATATCCTTTCAGGACTTTGACTTCAGTGTATCAATTCAGTATTTTTACCACTTGCCCTCCTTGTCTGTCAGTCTCAGTAACTTGGATCCAGCAGTGGAAGAAGTACTCACATCTTTTATGTAAGTAAAAGCAGCAATACCACAACATAAAACACACAGTTATGAGTTACAAGACCTGCATTCAAAGTATTGTCAACAAAATGAACTAAATGTACAGCAACAAATGTACTCAAAAGTAAAAGTACTCCAAAAGTCTTGTATCATATATAATCATACTTGTAATTATATAATTAAATATATACATTATATTATTGGATTACTCTACAAGTACATATATGTTACTGTAAGCAGCATTTTAATTTTGTAGATGGTTGAAATAGCACTAATTGTAACTACTTTATAATATTGTTTGGTAGTTAAAAACTGAGCACTGCATCATAATTTATATGCTGATCATGTATATATATAAAATCTTAATCTGCAAAGTAATTAGTAACTATAGCTATCAGATAAATGTAAAGGAGCAAAACATTATTTTTCATTAAAATGAAGTGGAGAAAAAATAGAGTAGAATAACATAGAAATACACAAAGTATGAACACATCAACATTAATTAAGTATAGTACTTGAGCAAATGTACTACATTCCACCACTGAATGGATCAGCTCTCATCTGCAAGTTGATGTCATCACAAATCAAAAGGCAGGCAAAAATGATTCTTTCTCATTCTTTTGTTATCAGCAGCCACAGACAGTAATAACTGTTCTCCAAATGAAAAACTTCACACAATGTTTAAATCATAGAAATGCTGAAATTAAGTGGTATTCTCCTTCAGGCATGTAAGTCTTGTGTTAGTCTCTACATACTGTCTTTGTTGAACCTCTGTGTCTGGAATGTTTCCTCAACTGGCACTTCTTAATTGATACAACTTAATAGGGAATAACTCCCTGTCACAAGAAAGTGTCTCACTACTATTAGAAGAAGAATTTTAATGAAGTGTAACTACCCGCTTAGCACCGGCTGCTGTAATACCTCCGTATGAGGCATGAAAACACATTTCAACACCTGCTGCTCACTGCTGTCAGTGAGTGGGCTTAAATGGTATTGTACCATAACCTTTGGGTGTGTTTAGGGGCACGATGCACAACATTGTACAGTCACTATTCCAGGGTACATTACCACCCAGCTTAGCTGTGAAATGTCCTATCATGTTACTTAATGTTAACATGATGGGGCTATGGTGAAATGTATAGCATGTTTGGGCAGTGGGGGATACAATAAGTGTAAGGCTGTAATCTGTGAAGGCCTGCTGGGATGCTTTTGAGGGACTGTCAAGACTTCCCCTTGTAGTTTCCTTGGCTCTCCTCTGACTGACAAGGCAGGTGCTTCCTCCTTCTCACTTGCCTCTCACTTGTTTTTGCCCATGTTTCTGGTTCTCTGTATGAAAAATGTGGTCTGAAGTCTCTTAAACAACCATTACTTAATGGGAATCTGAATTGGTGGAAGAAGAATTCCGATCCTTTACTTCAGTAAAAGTACAAGTACAAGATAGTAAAACGTAAAAATATTTATATGTGTTAAAATGCACAGACAATACTTCTTAAGTAAAATTACAAATGCATTATCAGCTAAATGTACTCAAATATGATATGGATCAGTGATAGAGCAGCATTTTATGGTTGTAGCTGGTCAAGGTGGAGATAGTTTTAACTACTTTATTTATAGTTTGGTAGTTTAGTCCAGTGGTTCCCAACCTAAGGGTTAGGCCCCTCCAAAGGGTTAGAAGATAAATCTGAGGGGTCGTGAGATGGCTACTGGGAGATGGAAGAAGAAAAAACAATGTTATGCCACAAAAATGTCTTTTTCATTTCTAAACAGTTTCTTTTATTTAAATGAGACGTTTAGAGGGGAAATGTCTCTTTGGTGCTGCTTAATACTCATCTGAATTGTGACAAGCAGACACTGCTTTCTTGCAAGGGGTCACTAACCAAAAAGGCTGCTTTAACAAATCGTTGTTTTTTATGCGCTTAGTTTTATGTCATGTCTTATCTTTAATAACTCAAGCATGGTTAAAGCGTCCAGATTTACAGCGTGACAACTACAGGCCAAAGTCAACAGGCCCCCCACAGCTTTAGTGCAACATAAACCTTGTAACTGCACCTAAATCACGAGATGAAATAAGAGGGGGTATGTTGTGCCTAACACATGGTGTCATGCTGACATTGGTGGTCTCCAAGCGACTGAGAGCCATGAGATTTATGAGTAACTGCTATGCAGGCGGCAGCCTGTTTCATGCCTCCCCTCTTCTCCTCACCCTGCCCACCTCCAATTTCTGCCATAATGTTTTCTTCTTCAATATTTCTCGGAATTACATTAGTTACCTATTATCCTCTCTCGATATTATCAAAACCATATGAGCACTTCTTGCATATCTTGCCAATCAACTGTAATGTTTGGAAGCGTATATAGCACAATATCAATAGTTATTTTTTAAAATAATTCACATAAAATTTTAAAAAATTGTATCAGCAGGTTGGACTCCCTTTGGATTCCTTTATGGCACAATAAGAAGAGTGCTCTAAAAGGTTATTGGTGAACCTTCCAATGGCATGTGCCAATAATAATGCTGCTGTTATGAACAACGTAGAAAGTTATTTTAACCATGATCAAATTTAATTACAGTGACTAAACTAAGTTTGCCCAATGACTTAAAGCTCCATTGAATAATATGTGTGTAATATGTGTGAATCCACCGAGAATCAGCATCCATCTCTGCAGGCTGATGAAGAAAGTGGAACCTTTAGAGACTAAAGAGGCAGATAACTTTCTCAAGAGTTGGTGGATACTAAAACCGAGTTTATAGGAGACTGAGCAGTGGATTTGAGGTGGGGATATGCTCAAAAATATGATGGGTTGTATGACTTGAAGGCGGGGGGAAAGGCGGGGTTGTCACCAAGACGTGATAATTATTTAAATATGGGGATTACATCGCACACATCGTGACAATCTTTCCTGGAAGGCATTAATAGTGTTGGATTTGGTTGTTCAAATTGACAGAAATAGATTTGTCAAGAATGAAAAAGAGAGCTAGAGAGAAACGTTCCAACCCTGCCAACCTCCACACAGCTGGCCGATCATTGCATGAAGATGATGTGAAATTTACAGAAATTGTCAGATGGAGTCCCCCAGTTCTGATGTCAGAAAGGTGAAGGGAGGGGTTTCGGACATTGGTGACCATCCCAGAAGACAGTAACTTCGGCAGGAGCATACCAGAACATTTACAGAACGTTCATCAGGCGGCCAAATAAACTCCAATCAATGTGTAAATGACTCCAAGTCTTGGTTCTGGCAAAAATGTACAGAAATAAAGTCAATAAACAAACTTTTGTCAGAACAGACATGTCAAAAAGATTTATCATGATTTTGACGGCTGACGTGAATGCTCCAGTGGACTGTGCATGGACATTGTTTTCCAACCCCTACATGCAGGGGTTGTTTTCCAACTCCGTATGGAGAAACCAACCCCTACATGGAGACGCTACAGCGTTGGTTGTGCTATGCATCTTCCTAAATGATATACAACATCTTAAAAAAGCTGACAAACAGCATTCTTAATCATTAAAATGTACAACAACCTGGTTTATTCAACTTTTAGTTTAGTCTTTACCTCTACCTATCTTTCCACTTTTACAAATTGTACTGTAACATGATCGTTATCATCAGTTGTTCTTAAACTATAAAGTTTCATTAGGTTCATTTTACTTGAATACAACTTTTATATTCATAGGTGGATGTTCATTTTAGCCTAAACACATTTTCCTATCCATTATACACATGTAGAAAGCAACACATGTTCATGTGTGGCCTCAGTGTAACTGCAAACACATATGATTCCTGGTGTTCAAGATCTCAACGATCTTCTTCAGTACATACTTTACAGTCCGTGCTGATAGGTCTACCATGATTCATTAGTGTTGCTGTAAGTATGCTGAAAGTAAAATCCCACACATAGACGAGACTGTGTTTTTAAGTGTAAGTATGGATATGACTTTTGTCGGCTCACTTCATTCAATCTCTCCTGTTTCTTTCAGCTATGGTCATCACCTTATTTCTCATGTTGTACAGGAAAATATGCAAGAGAAGGCGACTGACGAACAGTCACAGAGCAAGTGTTTGATTCTGAGAAAGGCCTGGCTGGTGATTGAACAGGGGCAGAGGGCACTCAAGTGTTGAAGCCTAATGCTGAGCCTCCTAAAATAAGAGGATTGTCCTCACAGTTGTACACTGGGACTAAAAACAGCCGGACTGACTGACAAGGAAGAGGATAGGCAATGTTGACACAGGGATTTGGGGACTTTCTATTTCTAAAGCCGTGTTGTTTTGAATCTGTGATCTTCCTCCCTGACTCATGATTATAAATACACAGATAGGTGGCAGGGTGATGGACCAAAGGCACAGATGTTGACATTAGCTCCCCAAACATGGCTGTAGTCAGGATCCACGGCAGACTGGCAGTCACCTTTTAGTTTGGATAGGACTGTCTTTCTGTTGAGCTGTATTCTGCCCTCCAAGTTTCCAAGTAGCTTGCTTTTGTAGGATTTCAGTTTTTACTTTTGTCTTTGCATTTAAACCACCTATAAACATCACCTGCCATCTGTAAGGTATGTCTTAAATACTATTTTTTATTCTCATGGTTAAGGTACAATACTGTATCACAATACTTTCAGATTTTTTTGGTTTACAAAGATTTTACTTGTTTATTCATTTCTTTGTTAAAGACAGTGCTTTTTATGCACAGGGGAAAAATACACATAAAAGACAGTGATGAAATTCGGATTTACAAGAATATATATGGTGTGGTCTCAAGTGGCTTCTGTCTTGAAATAAATCTAACAAAAATGAAATAACATACTATAATAACATAATGTGACTTTTTTAAATACTTTTTTTAATAACATTTTGTGTTTTTATATATTTAGTCATTTTAAAATACAAAATCAAATCAATATTGATACTAAAATAATGCATTTATAAATAAAGTAAAATATTCTGATTCTGTGAAAAATACCTGGACAAATTCCTTGAAATTTAAGGTCTGGAATACACTCTTTCAAAATTGTAAATAAAGGGAAGATGGAAAAGACAAAGTAAACTGTCTATATATGAATGCATATGAAGTATTTAGAAGAATATATTTATATAAGCAGTATTGACTGAATACTGTAAACTGTCACAACAGTTGACACATGTTAAGGGACAGCACCAGCTGCTCCCATCTCAACAGGGTAACCCCCTGGCTGTATTATGAAGGATTAAACTGCTGAGTGGAGCCTTCCCTGTTTAAATGTCACAAACTGACACAGAAGTGGTAGCGGTTTCTCCAATCAGTGAGGGAAACCAGTCAGGCCCATTAGGGCTTTTATTGGAATAAGATTGGACCACCTTAAATAAATGTTTATCTTATTTGTATAACAGACTACCTTGAGTTGGTTCACCTCTTTCCACATGTGCTTTCATTATTTACCTGCAATCAGCAACTCATGAATGATTGCTGACTTAAATAATATCTGTATTTATACTTATATATAATATTAAAAAATCATTTTGTATTTAATTTTTTCCCGGGCAGAAAATACCATTAAGTTAAATACTACAAGATGAACTTCCACACCGCCTACACTTTCATGTAACATTATTTTGTTTAGTTCATGGGCACACTGTCATCTAAAACCATGATTAATCACCATTTTACACTATGTAGGCATCTCGCAATAATTTTTACCTTCACAAATCAGACCTTTTACTGATGATCTATACTGCCAATTATGTGCCCACAGTTCATTTATGATTTTTATATTACTGAAGTGGTGTTAAACTACAGCTGAGCCTCAGTGTAAACACTTCTAGCTGATAACCAAGAGTCAAATCTTCAGTTTGAGTGACATACAAAAAAAGGCAGGTCAAGTAATAAATACTTTATTTTCACATTAGTATTAAAAATGCAGTCATCTGCAGGGCACAATATCTCCTCTTTACTGTACAAGTTAACGTTGTGTGTGTGTGTGTGACAGACATTTATCCTCATTAAATAGCATTATGTACAGAAATTAAAACTGTTTCAAGAGAATTACTGTTCAGTAAATGTTCACAAAAAAAGAAAGAAGCTGTGTTGATCATCGGCCACCTCCATTGGCTGCTCCGCCTCCGGCTCCTCCACCTGATTGGTCCTGTGCGCCAGACATCATCAGGAAGAGAACAAGAGGAACGATGTACATCCACTGGAGTGCACAAGAAAAATATGGAAGTAAATCTAACAACACTTGTTTTCAAGACAACAAATTAACTGTGATCACAGAGATCTTTTAAACACTTCCAGATTGGTCATCGCAGATTAGGGTCAATTTATTTTCTGACCAGAAGAGAGGAAAAGATGAAGTGTACAAGTGAGTGAGAGACTGTAGCATAAAGAAGAAATCTCAGGGTCCAACACCAAGCACATGCTCAACATTTACACAGACAATTAAGATTTAGAATTTCTTGATAGTTCAGCATGGAGGCTTCCTCATATAAATAGCTTTGAATTAAGAAAATTAAACCTTTGCATGTATCAGTCTGAAATGTGTTTGGCATTAAACCTGGAAAAACATTAATAAAAATGGAAAAGAGGGACTGAGTGTGAAACAAGAGGGTGGGTTTTATAGTTAGTCATATTGCTTAGATGTTAAGACAGAGGAGGAAGGGGGACAGAACGAGCCACAAGTAAGAAAACAGTACTTTAGCGGGAATCAGCTCTGCTCTCTTCCTCCCCCTGCTGGGGGCTGTGCTGAATTGGTGGCCATGAGGAAGATGGCACCTCCCAGAATCAAATACCACTGGAACACAGCACAGCACCAAGTCAACACCCTGTCACTGACTGGATGCAGCACAGCACAGAGTCAGCACAGGTCACTGAACACAGCATAGAGCAAAACCACACAGAGAGATTATGAATGAGCGATATGACACAAGACCAGGATGTCTGTGGGAATGTTTCAAAACACGGGGCTCGAATGGAGAGAAGCTTTTACTCAACTGGCAGCTCAAAATGTCAGAAGACAAACAAAATCTCCCTTCTGCTTTTAAAAGATGAAAGTTTAGTTTTAAAGTTTAAAAGTGAACGCTGTGGACAGAATATTCTCGGATGATTGGTCCAGTTTTTCAGGCTACAGCATCCCACAGAGAAGCACAGCGATACAGAGTCTCAAACCATGACAAGGACGTAGGGTGCTTTCACATTTAACCCGTTTAGTTCAGTTAAAAAACTCTCTGGGCGTGGGCTGGTGTGAAAGCTGTCAAACAAACTCTGGTGTCTTTGGAACTGTCCACAGACCCCCGCCTTTTTGGGCCCGAGACTGGGTCCAAAAAGACTTTGTTTACACAGCAGAGCAACAACAGGGCTGCATGAGAATAGGCTTTAGCATAAATTGAAAAGCTAAAAATCTATTAACTCAATCTACTGGTTGTTTGGTAAACATAGTAACAGTGGAGTCCTGGAGGCTAATAGTTAAGAGATTTGTTGAGCTTGTATCCAACTCCATGTATTTTAACAAATCTGTATGTTTCAACACTTTATGAGGTCCAGTTGCTGTCCTGACTAATAATGATCATAATCAGCTACTACTTTGTGAGATCTTTGTTATAGTAAAGAGGATAAATAAACACATTAGATTCAGTAAAGTACAGCATGAATTGCTGTCAGTCATCGGAGTTTAAATATCTGTAATGTAGCGCCGATTATGCCAAATGACAATCAGTGAGTGAATAACAATCAGTGAGTTACCATTCAGTCCATATGACTTAATGTTTACTCCTCATGGTTCATTTGTAAAATGTCAGTGTGAACACAAACTGGACAAGAACTAAAAGTCCAGAACCGTCCTACAGGTGTGAAAGCACCCTTAAATAGCTGAAGAACATAGAGCAAATCCAAAACACAGAATCAGACAGACTTTTTAAAGAGATGTTTGGTAGTTTCACAAACATTGGCAAATGAAATCCAGGAAAAAAAGTCTGTAGTAGAGCGCTACATTGGGATAGGGATCCCACGGGTCTCATCACAAATCGCGCGGAAGGGGGCTGTTTTAACTCTGCTGCAGGCGGGAGTGGCCGGTTAAAAAGTGGAGTGAACAAACGAAGGCGAAAAGAAGATTAAATTGAGTGTATGCGGCTGCTCCCAAGAACATACTGCACAGGCCTGACCTGAACGGGCGACCTCGGGTACGGGAAGCGGACACACTGACGAGGAGGCTAAAACTCACGGGCCCTAGCGTCAGTCGCCAGTGGCGGGGAGTGAGGTTTACTCACTGCACAGCCTTCCTGGCTTCCGTCACACAGGCTTATACAATACAAGACCAAAGCAATGCAAATCTGAAATTTGGAAAACTTCTCCGTTGTTAATGACCAAATTAAATGCAATGATTTACGTTGGTTATTGTGAACATTTAGCATAGACCAAACATTTTTGTCCTTTTTTTGATCTGCATGTCACAATGGGTACGGAAGCAAGCGGTAAAGGTCACAAAATCAGTGGGAGCGGGATCAAGAAAACATTCCCGTGCAGGGCTCTAATCTGTAGTGAAGTGCACTCTATACTGAACTGAACAAAATTATAAATGCAACACTTTTGTTTTTGCCCCCATTCATCATGAGCTTCTACTCCAGGTGCGGCAGATCAAGATGGTGATCAGACAGCATGGGTATCGCACAGGTGTCACAATAAAAGGCCACTCGAAAATGTGCAGTTCCATCACACAGCACAATGCCACAGATGTCGCACGTTTCGAGGGAGCGTGCAATTGGCATGCTGACTGCAGGAATGTCCATCAGAGCAGTGAATTGAATGTTCATTTCTCTACCATAAGCCGTTTCAGAGAATTTGGCAGTACATCCAACCGGCCTAACAACAGCAGACCACGTGTAACCACACCACGCCCAGGACCTCCACATCTAGCACTTTCACCTCCAAGATCATCTGAGACCAGCCGCCCGGACAGCTGCTGCAACAATCGGTTTGCAAAACCAAAGAATTTCTGCAAAAACTGTCAGGAACCATCTCAGGGAAGCTCATTTGCATGCTCGTCGTGCTCTTCGGGGTCTCAACCTGACTGCAACTTCGCACAGCCATTGAAGAGGAGTGGACCAACACTCCACAGGCCACAATCAACAACCTGATCAACTCTATGTGAAGGAAATGTGTTGCAAATGGTGGTCACACCAGATACTGACTGGTTTCTGGATTATTTTGGCAAAGGAGAAGTGCTCACTAACACAGACACACTGACACATTTGTGAACAATATTTGAGAGAAATAGGCCTTTTGTGTACGTAGTCTTAGATCTTTGAGTTCAGCTCATAATGAATGGGGGCAAAAACAAAAGTATTGTGTTTATAATTTTGTTAAGTGTATATTTTAACACATGCTGCATGCATTGAAAAAGTTGTGGTGAGTCTGATGGAGCAAAACAGTTATGAGCTAAATAGGTATATGTAACTATATGGGCCATTACAATCATCAGAGCCCAATTACTAAAGGCAAAGAGTATCTTTAGGCACAGCCTGCTGGCCTTATCAGCAGTTTTCAGTGAGGGTACTTACATATTTTGCAAAGAAAGATTTCTGTTCTTGTGGATTCTTCCCTTTCTTCTCAGATTCCTGTTCCATTCGTTCAAGGAACAGAGCCGTCTCAGGTCTGGAAGAAAGTTGGTATGGGAAAATGATGTAAAGCTGTTACACCAAGGCAAATATAACTGAATCAAAGAAATCGGAAAAAGCTACTGAAGGATTACACTAATGCACAGACAGCTTCAGATTTGAGCGGCAGCAATGTGCTACCATAAGCAGACAAGTTTTATCAGGCAGAGCTAAATGGAACAGGGGAAAAAAAGGAAATGAGAAACGGTGAAAAGGTTATTTTATATTTAACAAATACGTAATCTAAGACTCACCCCGGTGCATTGACAGGAGCCATGACACTGAGTGTGGTATTGAAAACCTCAAGATCAACTTCGTCCTCAACCTCAGTGCCCCTACAGGCGCCAGGTATTGTCACTATGGAGACACCAATGAGGTACCCAGAGACGTCAGAGTGGAGCGTGATGACATCGCTCAGATGAGACTCAACCATGGCACACTAAAGATCAGAGCAGAATAAAGGTTCATGTTACACCAATATAAGATAGTTAGTGTCACCATTTATAGTCACATGATGTTCAATCTATTAGATCCATATTACACTCATTTTAGAAAGCTCTTAATCTGAATTACCTAAAGTACTTCTGTCTTTACAAACAAGTGACTTAGTTTTAATAAGCAATAATTTTATTTAACTGGGGTGCCATTTATATTAAGGCACTAAGACAACTATAAACTTGTAAACCAACAAAAAAAACAACAACAATCAATATCAATTTAATTGTAATTAAACATATATAACGTCAAAACAAAAATACCCTACATAACTCTTTATTATGAGTTAATTAAATAGAAAGAGAGAGACATCTAAAAGAACAATAATTTGATTAAGTAGTCCCATCAACGGCACATATCTTACACAGAGCAGACAGACTTCTCAAATGTTGATGAAACTCTTCATGTACTCTCTCAGTTCCCTAACCTCCTCTAGTCTTATGTTTAAAGCAATTTTAAATAAGTGTTCTTTGGAAGATTATTTCCTGGTGAAGACAAGTGAAATACATACGGCTCTGACAAATGCGGTGAGGTAACCTTCCATCTGCCGCTCTGTCTGCCTGTCTGCCTGCAGGAAAACACGAGGCACTCTGATTCTGTACAGACCGTCCACTGCAGCCACTTCCTGTGGAGTCATTCAAGTAAACAAACATGTTACAGATGCAGGTTCATGCCTTGCCATTGTGATCCCACTCAAACCCTTTTGTATGACCTCTGACTCTCAGACATGTTTTTTTTTTTTGTATATTACTCTGCTTGTCAATGGTCATTATACAGTTGTGATGACCTTTTTTGCTGCAGCCTTTTTTCCATGGGCATAATGTGTCCAAAAATAACTAGAGTTTGTTGTTGAAAACGATTTTGGTAAGCTCTGTGACACAACAACAGTCCTAGTTAGTTCGCAACCTTTTAACTGTGTCACCTTCAGTTTGGCTCGGTCTTCCTCTGATAGCTGGTTCTGACTTAGTGAGACGCTGGGCTCCCTGCCAGCTTTCAACACCAGTGCTCCGCGTACTCGAAACTTTGCTACATCATCTGAGACAAGACGGAAAACAGACAGTTAGAGCAGAAAACATAGCATGAATGAATGACTGGAAAAGCACACATTTTAAAATTATGTTGCATGCCGAATTTCATAGAACAAATTGGCAGTTCTGAAGATCTACACTTATGTTGAACCATGTAAATTAATTTATTTACACATCAAAAAACATTAAACTGACAGATTTTTGAATGAAGTTTGGTGTGTGTGTGTTTCAGCATTCGGATTTGGCGTTATCACTACTAGCACACGGCAGCTTAGTTAGCTTAACAGTATTAGCAATAGCGTATTATACAACATAATAGTAATAAAATAATTATATCACTTCCTCACCGACTTCAAATGAGTGTTCAAGCGGCACAGAGAAACCACTGAATTCAGTGTCCAGGACATCGCCAACCTGATAATAAAAATAAAATGTACCGTTAGCCTCCAGCTGGTCAAAGCTAATGCTAAGTAGATGGCTAACAGGTGCAGTTTCCGCTAAACCGCAGTCAAATTCTAGCGTTAAATTAATAACACTTACCTTTCTACCATTATTACAACACACAATATTTGTGCATACGACAAACAAAACAGTGGAAACAACAGCAACTTTAAATGGAATAAGACGAGCCATTTCGACACAGATAGGCACCGGAACACAGTGTCAAGTTTGCTGCAATAACATTATAACTTCCGGATGTGTTTCTTCATAACAAAAGTCTGTAAAGTACATGACATGGAAATGTTTGTTCCGCTACCCCTGTGGGGACATCCAGAGGCGTTGCTAGACATAAAGCTCTACTGGGGCACAGACCCCCTCATTCCCCTTTTAAATTATGATGAATGATTTCGATATATTTTTGATTGTGTATGAAATGTGTTAGTATCTGTCTCACCAGCTTCCCTTGCTTAGTCCATTAATATTGGCACTGATATGTGGATTCCTGTTCGATTTGTTCAAGGAACAGAGCCGTCTCAGGTCTGGAAGAAAGTTGGTATGGGAAAATGATGTAAAGCTGTTACACCAAGGCAAATATAACTGAATCAAAGAAATCTGAAAAGGCTACTTCAGGAAAGGTATCCTTATACTCGTCAAACCTGTCCCCCTGCAACAAGGTGGCACAGACAAGGTGGTCTGTGAAGGAGAAACGCTCCCTAGTGTGTCCCAGGATGGTGTCACAGACCTATAGAGATAATTACAAAAAATATATATGTAAATGTAAGGTAGTAGTCTGGAGTAGGCCACTAGTTGTCACTGTTGCAATGACTTTCAAAAAGAAAAATAGAGCCATTTGAGTTTTTGAGACAGTAGTTGTTGTTGTTTAGTTTTTGGTGGCTTCATATTTAATTTGATCATTTATTTTTATGTTGCCAATTTATTATTTGGGATGCTGTTGTATAATATTAAAATTATGATTTTAGATTTAGATTTTGGATTTATACCAAACAAAATATGTTTTCTGGAGTCTGTAGAATATGATATGTGGTCAGGACATCTCTGCAGCACAACAATAATGTAAAATGGTATTTTGACTGATTTCTGTAACAAACTCACCTCTGCTGCAATCCTTTCTCGGTCTTCTGGAATGAGCGCCCGGCGCCTGTCCGAGAACCACTGCTTTGCTCACCAATGGAATGGAGAGAGTTTCTGCAAAGGTCAAAGATCATTTATTATAATATTGGCAAAAGGGAAAGAGAGTTAATGATGAAAGAGAAAGCAAATAATGATCATATTATAGGAATACAGTTACCTGATCTTTTCTATTTCCTGTTGGAGCTGTTGGATGCTCACTTTGATATGGCCACGTAAAGCCAACTCAAAGGCTCCACAAAATTTCACACTGTCTATTATACTGGACAGTATGTGACGATCTTCGTTGTGCCTTCTAATGCCAATTCTGTAGCCTTCATCTAGTTGTTCAGAAATGCTAACTCTGCCCAAAAACATTAGTTTCATGCTCAGTGGCGACTGGCCAATAGAGGGCGCTAAGGTGCTGTCCTCCCTGGTGGTGGAAACTTTTTACATAAAATCTATGGGTGAAAAGTGTTTTGAAATAAACAGTAATTAAGTATATGTGTGTTTAAAAGGCACAATAATGTGTAATATATAAAATATAGGCTAAATATTTATGTTTGGGTGTGAAATTAGCTTCCTGCTCACTCACTGATCTCTTCTGGGGCGCTGGAGAAAGTGCCCAGGCAGCACAGCAGCGCAGCCAATAACTGGCCGTAACTGACACAAGATATGCTCATAGCAACAGAAATAAAGCCAATCAGCCTCAGATCTGATGCCTGAAGGGCGCTCCAGGATCTGCCCCAAGCGCAGTCAGTCAGTGGGACACGTGACGTTGACAAGATGAATGCGGAACTCAAGACCGACACAGGCTTTCAGTCTTGGCTAGCTGGATGCAATGATTTAAATACCTTATTTTGCTTCCCATGCTTGCTTTTTAATACGATTAAGATGAAAAGATTAAGAAACACAAGTGTACGAGGGTGCATATGGATAATATGGTGAAGCTAGCCATGCTAGGCAGAGTTAACAGCGGCCTTGCGCGGCCACAATGAGACCGCATCCTCTGACAACCCTGGCGTTTTCAGTAAATCTTGTTGCCTCGCTGAACAGCGTGTTGGAGGAGAACCTTAAGACAGCTACTGTTTTCAAAGGCACCCTGTGCATAACAAACTTTTGGACCGCATGCTGTCAGTTCTTAAAGATTAAATTCTGGAGGAAGTAAAAAAATGCAGAATATTTTGCTATTCAGGCAGATGAGACAACTGACATTTCCACCCACTACCAGCTGGTGCTTGTGCTACGGTACATCAACAAGGAGAACAACATCTGTTGGCTACAGAGGTAAGCTGTAAAGTTTATAGGCAGCTCTGAAGTGTTAAGATGTGGTTATTTCCAGTGGTGGACATTAACTTAAGTAGGCCTACTGTACTGAAGTACAAATTAGAGGTAGCCTATTTGTACTTCACTTGAGTATTTTCTTTTCATTCCACTTTCTATGTTTATGTTCACTGTTTATGTTTTTGTATATTAATATAATATAGCCTAATAATATTATATTGGCATTAAATAATTTCTGACTATTTCACAAAGCACTGGTATCATGCAATTTGTGTTCATTTGTATTGGAGACTGAAACTGACTGGAAATGGTACAGCCTCGCCTAAAATGTTTTTCACCAGCCGCCACTGCAGCCTGCTGTCCTTGAAAGTCAGAAAGATAGTTATTTTCTCTTCTTGTGCACAGGATAGTCCCTCTTAGTTTTCTCATCAACGTTGTAAATTCTCTATTTGAACATTGGCTAATTTTTTTGCCACATTTCATATCGTTAGCAACGTGCCTTTTCACATCAAACAGTATTTATTTTGAAATTGTAACCGGACGTTGCATATATAATATTGCTAACTTGACCGGACGGTGCAGATTTTGCCAATTGTTGCTAACTTGACCGCAAAGCCCTATACGTCCAATAGCGACGCCAAGGGGTATTGACAATTTCAGTGGGTCACAGCACATGGATACAGGGGCACGTGCCCCGTGAAAACGGTCTAGCGACGCCTGTGGGGACATCCCATTAAGATGCATTCATTAGCCCCTTACCTCTAACCTTCACAACTATGTGCCTAATGCTTACCCTAACCTTAACTTATTTGTAAGGTGAACTCTAAAACCACGCTTTAGCCTTAGTCTCTACTTGTGGGGACCTCAATTTTTGTCCCCATGGTGACACTAGTCCCCATGGGTTGGGTTGGTGTGTATAAAAATGAAACACACACAGTTAATTTGTACATGCTGAGCTATTTAAAGTATGTGATGACCTACTTGCATGCAGATTGTTCATGCATATATCTCAATATATACCAACTTACTTTACTTTTCACTTCTGTCTGTTTCTGAACATGTCGATGTTGTCACCTGCTATGCCAGTGCTGCTACACAGAACAGTATTTACTCTTTGAATTTGTATTTTTAGAATTTTTGTATTTACAGTAGTTTTCTTGTCTGTTGACAGAATGCAACTAATGAACCAGGCCTGTGTGTTTCTGTCTTGTAACGTGTCAGTAGCAATGTCTTCTTCTTGCCGATTTAATAAGGTTTTGATTTCTATTTTGGGCTGTCTATACTTCAGCTTAGTGTTGCTCTATATTTTGTCTGTAGCAAAGAAGGTAACATAATAATTTACCAAAAAGACATGTTGAGTTGTTGAGTGCTCAAACAAGTAATGTGTTCTAATCTACATGATATTTTTGCGTTTGTATATCTCGAGTATTATCTACTGTAAACTATGTATAGGATTAATAGTTTAATATCAGTGGTTTAATATCTGTCTGCACAAACACAATATGTAACACTCACACATATACAGTGGGTACTCAATTTTTCACTCTTTGTTTCATTGCAGCCATTTTCCAAAAATCAAAAAAGTTCATTTTATTTCTCAGTAATGTACACTCAGCACCCCATCTTGACAGAAAAAAACAGAAAAGTAGATATTTTAGCAAATTTATTAAAAAAGAAAAACTGAAATATCACATGGTCATAAGTATTCAGACCCTTTGCCGTGACACTCATATTTAACTCAGGTGCTGTCTATTTCTTCTGATCATCCTTGAGATGGTTCTACACCTTCATTTGAGTCCAGCTGTGTTTGATTATACTGATTGGACTTGATTAGGAAAGCCACACACCTGTCTATATAAGACCTTACAGCTCACAGTGCATGTCAGAGCAAATGAGAATCATGAGGTCAAAGGAACTGCCTGAAGAGCTCAGAGACAGAATTGTGGCAAGGCACAGATCTGGCCAAGGTTACAAAAAAATTTCTGCTGCACTTAAGGTTCCTAAGAGCACAGTGGCCTCCATAATCCTCAAATGGAAGACGTTGGGGACGACCAGAACCCTTCCTAGAGCTGGCCGTCCGGCCAAACTGAGCTATCGGGGGAGAAGAGCCTTGGTGAGAGAGGTAAAGAAGAACCCAAAGGTCACTGTGGCTGAGCTCCAGAGATGCAGTCGGGAGATGGGAGAAAGTTGTAGTAAGTCAACCATCACTGCAGCAATCCACCAGTCGGGGCTTTATGGCAGAGTGGCCCGACGGAAGCCTCTCCTCAGTGCAAGACACATGAAAGCCCGCATGGAGTTTGCTAAAAAAACACCTGAAGGACTCCAAGATGGTGATAAATAAGATCCTCTGGTCTGATGAGACCAAGATTGAACTTTTTGGCCTTAATTCTAAGCGGTATGTGTGGAGAACACCAGGCACTGCTCATCACCTGTCCAATACAGTCTCAACAGTGAAGCATGGTGGTGGCAGCATCATGCTGTGGGGGTGTTTTTCAGCTGCAGGGACAGGACGACTGGTTGCAATCGAGGGAAAGATGAATGCGGCCAAGTACAGGGATATCCTGGACGAAAACCTTTTCCAGAGTGCTCTGGACCTCAGACTGGGCCGAAGGTTTACCTTCTAACAAGACAATGACCCTAAGCACACCGCTAAAATAATGAAGGAGTGGCTTCACAACAACTCCGTGGCTGTTCTTGAATGGCCCAGCCAGAGCCCTGACTTAAACCCAATTGAGCATCTCTGGAGAGACCTGAAAATGGCTGTCCACCAACGTTTACCATCCAACCTGACAGAACTGGAGAGGATCTGCAAGGAGGAATGGCAGAGGATGCCCAAATCCAGATGTG